CCCCCCCCACACAATTTCTTTACGTTTGAAGGTACCAATTCACCCTCTCCGCTCCCCCCCACTCCGACTCTCCGGTGATGCATTCCAGATTTTCCCACCCGCTGTAAAATAAGATATTTCACCATCCCCCCCCGCCCTCATGCTCCCTCCCTCCTCCCCCCCCCCCCCCCCCTGCCATTTCTCTTCCCCATCTCTCCGTGTTGCCCCTCACTGGAGTAACGCGCTGGAAATCAGGTCCGGCGATTTTCCCGGGAAGGAATTTTTAATCCCAAAGCCTGAGGAGCTGCCAGATGGCCGGTCGTGTGGACCTAGGTCTGCCAGCGACAGGTTTCTGTACCTTTCAGACACAAGAAGGATTTAAAACAAAACAATAAATAGATTCTAGCTGTGGCTAAATACCTTTGGACTGTTCCTGCGTTGTAACTTGGCTGGTTAAAGTTGTAACCGCCCGACAAACGCTCCCTCTCTGTACACACACGCGCACGGAGACACGTACAGACACGCACACACGGAGACAGAATGACGGGTGGAAGGGAAGCCCGAGAACGCAGCCGAGTCGGCCGCCTTTCTGCTCCTCTCCACCTCCCCGCCCCCCAGCCCGGCTGGAAAACCCGGCGCTCCTTCGTCCTCCTCCTCCGTTTGCTTCGAGTTGTTTGCGGAAGGCGCAGGGTGACTGATGGGTTGAGGTCTTGCAGCGGCTTTCAGGGCAGCGGCGGCGAGGAGGGGGTGGGTTGGGAGGCGGTGGACCAGCTCCTGTTCTTCCGGAAAGTCTGACAACGTAATAACGCCCACCTCCCTTCCACCCCCACCCCCCCCCCCCCCACAACCCCACCAAAAAGAGCTGTTGGCACCCCCTCCCGTGCTGACCATTTCCCTGGCAGCAGTGAGCGAGGCAGCGTGCGACGAGCCTTCAGAGATTTCAAGGATAAAGGGCTGTTATTCCAGGAAGGGCGTTTTTTTGGGGGAGGGGGTCCGGGGGAGATAGAACAGCAGCACACCCTCGCCTCCTGACTTCCAACCAACAATTCCCCATCCTTCTGTTCCCATCCCTCGCTCGTTGGCCCCTCGCAGCGTGGAAACAGGGCCTTCGGCCCATCCCCGTCTGTAATCCCCCAAACTAGACCAGTCCCACACCCTGCCTGCTCCTGGCCCCAATCCCTCCAAACCCTTTCCCTATCCATGTCCTTTTAAACGTTGTGGCTGTACCCACATCCACCACTTCCTCAGGAAGTTCACTCCACACACGCACACACACCACCCTCTGTGTGTAAAGAAAAGTTTGCCCCCCCCATGTCCTTTTCAAATCTTCCTCCTCTCAGCTTAAAAAAGTGTGCCCCTAGTCTTAAAATCCCCCCTACCCCAGGGAAAAAACACCCTATCTATACCCCAATGATTTTATAAACCTCTG